AATGTCCAGACACTCGGAGGAGGTGAGACGCGGACTGGTGAGCTGTAATTAGAGAATATCTATTGGGATTTCATTAATAGAGGATCTGTGGTCCAACCTTAATGTACTTTCTCCTTTCAAGTCGTTTCAGGGGCAACAGCAGCTCGTCTCCATGCTGCTCCCTTAGCCCCTCGATGGCATAAATGGATTTGGTTAAATAAACATTCCGATACTCCAGACTGTGCATGTAGCGGACATAGAAGTAGATGGCCCTGGAGAGGAACAGCTTAACGAATGGATCTTAGATATTTAAGGGTTCGAGCTCTTGCCTACTTAACAAACACAGCCACAATCAAGATGTAGCAGAGCAGATCCAGCCAGCCGAACATGAACATCAATGGCTTCAATTGCTTGTTAATATCCTGGACTATCTCTTCACCCACCTCCGAGAGATCTCGAGAGGAATTGGTGTTGAAATGAAAGTCATGTTCAAAGGAGACTTTAACATCAAACATTTCCCTGATGTGGCCCACAAACAAATGGTACTCTGATGGAAGAAACTATAAAATATGTGGATTATAAAGAAGATTCTACCCACGCTCCATGACCTTGTCCAGCAGCTCCCACTGGACATCCCAGAAGCCAGTGCAAAATACATCGATGATCTTTGCCGGATAGCACAGGGCCAGAAACACTTTGGCCACATGGCAGATGGGCTTGAAGACACCCAATGTATCCTGACACTTGCTCATGGCACTAAGGGCAGCCTGTTTGCAGCGTGCCCACGGTGTGTCCATCTCTTCGTTGCACATGTCCACAATGGATTCCAGCCAGGCCAAACAGTTCTTGAGGGTTCCAACTGCAAAGGGGAGAGGTGTAGCAACCGAACCTTGATAGCCAGACTCCACTCACTCACTGATGATGAGCAGGTACTCTTGGATGCGCAGCAGAGTCTCCAGAACTTGCTTCAGCACTCGACGCACCTCGTCCAGCATCAGCTCTATGGCCATTTTGATGGACTTTGCTGGTTCCATTATTACATCCAGCATTTGGCCCAGTGCCTGTCGCAGCAGCTCTTGCCCGCAGGCCAGGCTGCGCAGCATCACCTTCAGATTGGCGAGGATACTGGCAGTCGGCCCAATGGCCGCCAAGAAGAAGGCCAAAGCTATCAGAAAAGCGCGTCCGCGGGAGCTGCACAACGAGGGAATGGCCAGAGTCAGTATGCACCTGGGGAGAGCAAGAATCAGCGTTAAGAACGGATAATCTGCTTGCTCCCACACTCACCTGACAGGACGGCCATAGAAGAGAACAATTAAAAGCATAGCCAGGCCCACAATTGTCAGCCAACGGACATTGAGGTCTTGCCTTCTCAGCGATGGATGCCATTCATACCACACGAATGTTAAAACTATGCCACAAAGATAGCCACATAGAACAATAGGCACAACGACTTTAAATGTCCACACAGCGTGTCTAATTTCCATTTTGAAACATGGATTTTGATGTTCTATTTGACATTACTAGCTAGTTAGGAGTCTCAGCGCTAAAACTTTAATTTTATCCGATTTAGCAATCGATTCTAAACAAGATTTGAGTAGTTGGATTGATACTTATTTGACAATTAGTTGCTTGTCAACCGGTAGGTATAGATTGTATTGGTATTTGTATACCCTATTTCCATAAATAAATATTAAAATTTATTTAATTTTTTTTTTTTTTTGAGGTTTTAAGTTACCGCTCTACCCTTAGGTAGAGGGGAATTATTTGGCCACCCGCCTTTACAAGGGGGAAATCGCCACGTCGTAATATGTAACTTGTTACAGCTTTGCTCCAATACTTACCTGGCGTAGAGGTTATGTTCCCCACGTGCTTGTTGCAAATTTTTGGCGGTGTATTAAAATTTAATTTGGTTCATATTTTATTCGTAATGTCGTTTTCCCAACATCGCCCATTAGCCAGCACTAGAAGCTTGTCATTGACAAACTTACCAGCACTTAAAGCATCAAAACAATAGGTCACTGCTATGGCACTGAATTCAGCACATGCCATACAGTTGTCTCGCTCTAGCATGCGCTGTGGCCAGCACAAAGCTAGCTGCTGGTTGAGCTGCCCGCCCAATTTGAAATGAAAACCACTTTTCGTTTCTCTTTCTTTCGCTTTTCGCTTCACTTTTTATTTCAATCAACACTTCTCCTCACTCACTCGTTCCACTCTCAGCCTCAGTTCCTTTACAAATGTCTCGTACCTTAATTTTTGAATTAACAAACGTGTGTGCCATGTTTACTTTTTTTTTGTTGGGAATTCTTTGATATTTGAGGGGGGAGGGAGGGATTTTTCAAACAGCGCGAATGCGTCTTTTAGTGTAACGAACTTTAGTTTTTGTCATTTAGTTTAGTTTCTCCCGGTTACTCTCTGTTCTCTCTCATGTTCCATATTCTTTTCTTTCCTCATTTCTTGTGCAGCAAAAATACAACGTTGCAGTCCGGAATTCATTTCTCGATTTTGTTACGGGCTTCCTAACACTAGTGGGGGGTACTGCTTGCTCCAGCCAAGGGGAAGCCATCAAACAGGTTGATCTGATCTGATGGATCGCCTTGGTTAGAGTCCCATTTTAGGCGATAGCTTCATATGGGGAGAGGGGTTTATGGGGTGTATGTATATGTATGCATTAATACTTTCTCCTCGCTTAAAATCTATATAAATATATAGGTATACATATATTTATGTAGGTATGTATATGTATATAATTCGAGTATTCAATCGAGTATCAACGAGCCGAGGTTAAGTTGGTAAGTACTGGATATACAATATATGTAATATAGGCAACCTATTACCCATATTAGTTGGTGTATTTGATACTTTGCAAGGTAATTGAATTACGTTTACGTTTATGTTTACGTTTAAGAATTCTCAATTAGGCTTCAATTTTTCATTTATGTATAACTCAGTCTAGCACCCCTAGAGATTGAACTTGGATAAAAGGATCGATCGACACTCGGCTCTCGACTTTATCAATATACAAATTGGAGTTGTTAATCTTGAATGTATAATTATTAACTATACATACATTTACGCATATGTATATATTTTATATGTAGTTAATTGTATACTGTATAATATAATTACATATGTAGATATATATTTATGGGGGCCGCAATCGACCTAATGCTTGGACTAAAAAAATGCTCCCATAACTAAAAGGATTTTAAACACAAATTGAACACGAAACAATTTCCTTGGAATCTAAAGTGCACTTGAACGCAATTTACATACATAACTCCCAATCGATCGATTGAAATGAAATAGTATACACTTGACCCTGGCATTTTGATCCATAACGATGAGAGAAATGATCAAATATCCCACCACATGGATGTGTATTTTTAGTTTATGTTTTTATATTCATCTAAACTTCTAATGGTTCTCTAGGCACTTTTTCTATCTGATAGTAGATCTTCGGTTTTTTATCGTTTTTAGTTTCTCATTTTGTTTTCTGGTTGCATTACAAAAATTACCAAAAATATATAATCGATCTACAAATGAGATGGTACAGTGCGTTTCGAGACTGTAATTGAGTAAGCTACCATTTGAATAAGGACACCAATTGAATGCCAGAGATATCAAAGTCAAGTCATCAACCCATTGACTCCATTGAATCATCGAATAAGAGTAGACAAATATCGGTTGGGGAATCACTAATTGTCGGGAATCTCAAAGTTATGGGTAAGCTCAATTATCGCGATATAATCAAATCAGTTTGGCATTATCTTCTGCTGTGGAAACGCACTGTATCTGGATACAAAAAGAGAGCTAAAAAACTAATTCTCATATGGTTTAGTAGCAATTGATTATGGAAAATTGTGTGTGTATTTGTTGGGTTGTTCTTGCCTCCTCTCATTGATCTCGCTTCTCACTTATGTTCCTCCTTTTTACTTGGTTTTTGTTTTTAGGTACTGCAGCACAAAAATAGGAATAAAGTAAAGATTTTGGTAGTTCCTTTTGTGGTTTGTAATATTTTTTACATTTGGGTGTGGAAACCTATGGTTATATTCTTAAGATTGGAAATCTCTCTCGCTATCGCTTTCACTTTCTTTTTATTGCTTTTCCGTGGTAGGGGAATCAAGTGAGAAGGGGTCTGGGTTCTGTGGGTGCCTGGGGGGGGACTATCGCTCACCAACCAAAGTTGATCCAGGGTAAGGGTTTGAGTGGGGGTTTATGATTTTTGTTGCCAATTATTGTAACCAAAATTAACCGAAATAAAAACAAATTTTGTTTTAATTTTTGTTGTTTTTGAAAATGTTTTTTTGTATTTTTGCTTTAATTTTTGTTTTGTTGTTTTTTTTAATGATACGTTTTTTCCGCTTGTTTTTCTTTCATCTGTTTCGCTTTTGACCAATACCAATGTACTGTATGAATAATATATATATTTTATAATATATAATATATCATTGAATTTCTTCTGCTGCTTCTCCTATTTATATAATTTTATATATATATTTTTAGGTGTATATATAATTTGTTTAAATATTTATTTTACACTTTCTCTCTCGCACTATTCTAGTCGCGTTCTTTCTATGACAATTTGCAATAGTCTATACAATTTTATATTCTTCATATTCTCAATACATTTATACATATATTTCCATCTGTAGTTTGCTTTTCTTTTCGTTTAATTTAATTAATTGTATACTTATGTAAGTGTGTGTGTGTTTATGTGTGTGGTTTTTGCATTTTGCTTTTGTTTTTGTTTTTGTTTTAAATTTAATTTACTTAATGTTAGCAAAAATAATTTACTTACAAGTTAGAAACAGATTTAGGTTTAGATTTAGTTTATATATATATATCGATTGCTGCTGCTGCTAAGCCGCTGCCACGCCCACATACTTGTAATTGTATGCGGGCGATATGTATGTACAAAATGTATTTTTTGCTTTCTTTCAACTTCTGCTAGTACATCGTCATCGTCATCATCTCTTAATAGCTACTAAATCAAGGATGATTCTAATTAATATAAGGTGTTGGTGTGTGGCTGTGTGTATGGTTGTGGTTTTTGTTTGTGAGGGGGGCGTGGTCTAGTAATAGTAGTGGGCGTAACTTAGACTCTTACAAAAATTGAACTAATACGCGCGAGTTTTAGAAACTTTTCTCTCTCTTTATCTTCTTCGAAACAAAAAGAACATCCATTTAGGGTCATCTTACACAGATACATCATACATTATACGTTTTACATCATAGTACATCTATCTTTTAGGGGTCGCTACAATCCACCTCTGGCTTCTCTGCTTTTCCAATCGTTTCGTTTCGTTTAGTTTTAATTTAATTTAAAATTCAATTTTTATACCTGTTTTGCATAGTTTTTTGTTTTCTCTTAAACTTTTCAAGCTAATTTCCGCTTCTATCTCCTTAATCCTCCAACCAAAAACAAGAACAGAAAAACCTTGTGGTGTTCGTACAACAAAATATGAATTCTCGAAAATCATAATCAAATGTTACTTTCAAACATTTTTTTGTTTCAAAAGCACAAAAAAAATCAAAGCCAAATGTAATTTCCACTAAATTTGTTGCGTTACAATTTATGTAAATCATAAATGTATGATATATACATATGTTTATGTATAAATATATATATTTTGTTGCTTCACATATAGATTCTTGTCTATATATTGTTTTTTTTTTGTGTTCATGTTTTGTGTGGATTTTTCAGCTTTTTTTGTAGTTTTTTTCTTCTTCTCACATATTTTCATCGTTTTTTTTTCTTTCTTTTGTTTTTTTTTTTAAATAGAGGTTGTTGCTCAAGTCTTATACGTTTCTTTATAGGGCAAATAAGCAATTACAGAAAATCATAATTGTACAAAAAAATCCAGAGTGGAGAAAACAAACGAAAAATGTTACAAAATGTTTAAACAAGTAGGCATAATAATGACAATAATAAATAATGATAATTAGCATAGGATTATACACATGTATATTTATATTTATATTTATATATATAATATAATTTAACAAGAAAGTGTAGCATTAGTGCGCCCCACTGTAGTGTGTCTGGGCGGCACTGGCCACTAATCCTCTCTGTTTTAGCGGGTTTGCGGGCCTTCTGATGTGTGTGTTTGTGTGTTTTGTTGTTGTTGGATTTCCCATATATATAGTGGTATAGTGTGTGTGGTTTACAATAGTTACGATTCTATACAAAAATGTACAAATAAATCAACGAACTCTTCAGATACGCGTACATATACATATGGAGATATAAATATTACTATATTACAGTTTCGACACACATTTACATTTTCCTAGTACATTTTTCCACGAAAATTCAATTACAGCTTTTCATCTGCTTGCATCTTTTTCTTGTATCAAATTTGACCGCTTGCCTGCTCGCCCTCTCCACTTCTCCACTTGTCTTCAGCCCCAACCCCAGGGATTTCGATCTATATCTCAATCTGATGCTAGTTCGGTAATTCATTTAAATTGTGACTAACTACGCACTAAAAAATTATTACAAGGTATACTAAATTCTAGGCAAATCTTAGGGGAAGGGGGCAGACTGTGTTGCGGTTGCGGTTGCGGTTGCTGTTGCGTTGTGGGTCGTCGGAGGAGGGTGAGCGGCATGGGACAGAATATATATGCTATATATTGTATATAAATATTTAATTTAAGCTTCGAATCGAATTGAATTTACTTAACATTAGATTACTTTAGATTTAGCTTTAGGTTTAACTTTAGATTTAGTTTTAGCTTTAGTTATTTATATTAGTATTCTCTGCCCTAAGCACAATCAAAACGATCAACGATCGACGATCGACAAACGATAAACAGAAACAGAAACGGAAACAGAAATTGGGTTCTAATTAGCACTAGAGACATCATTATCTTTATCTTTATATTCTCCCCGTCATCATCATCATCATTATCGCTCTTCCTGCTGATGCTTTGCCTTTGCTTTGCACTAAATTTCATCTAAATTATAATTGAATTTCTCATTGCTACAACTAAACGTAAGTTTACAATCGCTTCGGCATCCTTACTTGGACGCCGTCTTTTTTGTGGGCGACGTCCCCGTTGTTCTCGCCTCCTGCTGTTGCTGTTGCTGTTGCTGTTGCCGGCTACCCGGCGCATTCACAGGCGAACTGCGTCGCGCCGTTGGTGAGCTGTTTGAGGAGGCGCCGGATGAAACCGAGTGGGCGGCGGTCACGGCCAGACTTATGCTGCTGCCGCTCGAGCAGGATATGGTGGTGGCCCCCGCCGACGAAGTCGACGCTGAGGAGGAGGCGGATGAGGAGGTAGAGTCGCCGTAACTCAGTTTTCGCATATTCTCTATGGCCTCGGACCAGTGGATGGCATAGCCTTCGGGATCGTCCAAGTAGTAGGTGCGACTCGGCTGTAAAATATATAGAATGAAAATGGAGATTAGTCAGACGCTCACATTGGCAACAAAATGCACCCACTGGCAGTGCCCCTTTCCCGAGTAGTTTTCTCGCTTTTATCTGTGTTGCGTGTGCAATTTTCAATGCCGCATTTAATTTGTTTTCATCGCCAACACGTGCCGGACTCGTAAACGTCCGTTCAAATGGCTTTTTTTTAGTGGGAGTGTGAATAGGGCTGTGACGTCACCACACAGCCGGCGAATGGTTCAACAAACTTGTCGAATTGCATGCTTCCGGGGTCGGTCTCTAGCCCACTTAAATAGTTTGCCCCTCCCATTTGAATCCCAACTTACCGTATGGACAAAGAAGATTTTGAAGTTCTTGTATTCGGCTCGCAGCTCTGGACTCCAGCGGATCTCGCCCTTCTTGATCATCTGCACGGGATCGATGTAGATGAGGCGGGGTCCAGTCGTTAGCAGGAGCATTCGCTTGCGGGCAAACAGACCCTTGCGCTTGTTCACGAATCCCTTCTTGAGGATCACCTCACCGTCGGCAAACACATGCCACTTGTCAGTCTTCTGCTGCTCCAGACGCTGCAGCTTCTCGGCATCGCTCAAGTCAAAGGAATCTACAGAAAAGATGAGAGATTAGAAGGCTGTTCGGGTAGGGAGCGACAGTAGATTGGACTTACTCTTGGCCGTGGATCGTTTGGCGGGCATGGCCACGCTGCTTCCCACTCCCAGCTCGGCGCTGAGCAGGCGGGTGATTTGGCGCTCATCGAGTCCTGGCTCCAGGTCTCCGGGCACACTGTAGCTGGAGCGGAAGTCCTCATCCAGGCTGACGCCGGGCAGGTAGGGGTAGATGGGAGGAGGGGTCTGTTGGCGCAGTGTTTCCCAGTTGACGCCGGCGAAGAAGGGATGGGCACGGATGCTGTCGTAGTAGCCGAACTCATCCTGGGCACCGAGGCGGTCGCGGGGCTCGATCTTGAGCAGCTTCCTGACTAGATCCTCGGCATCCTTGTCAAAGCCCTGGGGGAAGTCGACGGCGCAGTCGAGGATCTCCTTGAAGATGACATAATCGTTGCTGCCACGGAAGGGCGGCAGGCCCGAGATCATTTGGTAGATGATGCAGCCCAATGCCCACAGATCGGCGGCGGGCGTGATGGGGCCGTTCTGCAGAACCTCCGGAGACACGTACTGGGCGGTGCCCACGAAGCTGCCCTTGCGACGCCGCGCATAGCGACGCTGGCGATGCCGTGGCGAGTCCATCTCATCGGCTGTGTGCTGCTGATCATCATCGCCATCATCTAGCTCCGAATCCTTGTCGTAATACTCCTCGTCATCGTAGTCCAGCTTGTCGCTGTCCTCGTCATCGTCGTCCGAGTTGCCTCGCCGCGTCTCCGCACAGTGCTCGGAGGCAAAGGCACGCTCGCGCGGTGTCATCACCTTGGCCGAGCCAAAGTCGGCGATCAGAGTGTGCATGTCCTCGTCGAGCAGGATGTTTTCGGGCTTCAGGTCGCGGTGGACGACGTTGCGGCGGTGCATGTGCTCGCAGGCGAGCAGCAGCTCGGCGGCATAGTGACGAGTGCAGGCTACATCGAAGCTGCCCACGCGGTTGATGTACGGCAGGAGGTCGCCCTTGCGGGCGTATGTCATCACAAAGTAGAGGGAGCGCTGGTCTTGGAACGTGCACGAGAGATTCACGAAGCCGGGCACACTGGTCATCATGTGCATCACCTCGCGCTCCCGCTTAATGTAGTCCTGTTTCCGCTCCCGCAGGATCAGGCGCTTCTCGCAGACTTTAACTGAAAGAGGAGAGGAGAGGGCGAGAGTGGGAAATTAGTTTCAATCCGTAGATAACGGTAACGGAAACAGCTGTTCGTTTCAATGTCAGACAATCATCGGAGCGAGCACCGGCTCTTGGCAACACAGCCACAAAACAAACAAAACAAAAGTAAGAACAACTGTAATGTGGAACATTAAATAATTCAAATTAGAAATGCGACAAATAAGCACACAGAACACAAAATGTACGCGTGAGAATAATAAAACCGCACACACGCAACCACACTCACACACACCCCACACAGAGCGGCCATAGAAAAAGAAAAAGTTCGAGTACAGGCGACAGAATTGTCAAGGTCCATTTGGATACAAGTCAAAGGAGATATAAGTCCACTCCCTTTGCCATTTCGTATATGACGCTTTAGTTGGCTGGTCCACTTCATCTATCTACAAGTGTTGCTATCCCTGTCTATCGCTTGCTGTGATTTATTGAATTGAATGAAGCCGCCGCCGCAGCAGCAGCGAAGAGCGAGATTGTAACATGGCCACAGAGACTGCCCAAACGAAGAGAGGGAGCAGAGTATGAGAGACTGGAGCTAGGTATGGAAAAAGGAGAAGAAGGAATTTTGCTCAAATTGCTAAATTAACAGAGAAGTCTCGCGTCTGGCGGGCAAACGAAAGCGAGTGCGCTTGGGAACTTGTTTCTGAGCGGATCACCCCCTGTTCCCCCTTCATACACTTCCCTTCTACAAAGAAGAGAGGGAGCCATAGTTGAAGAAATTCTAAACTGGTTGTTGAACTGAAATGCGAGAGAAGCAGTGCTCCGCACATACATACAACACAGGGATCCGTTCGGCATTGAAACCATATGAAGAGAAAGGGAGCAGGAGATATGATGTGATACAGTTTTAGGCTTGAGCTTTGGCACTCCGCCCGCCCGCTCTTTGTGCCTGGGGTTAACGGTTATCTAGAGTTATGACCGCTTATCACTAGTTTCTTTACTGTTCCGCCCCGCCTTCTCTTCTCTTCCCGTTTCGTTTGTTTTGCGGTCTTTTCCTTTTTGTTCCAGCGGTCAAGCTGGTCATTTTAACGTTTTGCAATACACTTCCCCATTTTGATTGACAATTCCCCCCACCAAACCAAGCAGGGCAAAAAGTGAAAAACCAAGCTAAAAATAATAAATTAGAATCAACTACTATAGTATCTGCCCACACATAGTATATAGAGGTGAGGTCCCCCTACAAATTCACAATCACAAATCTATAGGCAAAAATAAATTTAAAGATAATTTTTGCATTTGTTTCCTCTTCTTGGTATGTGTGTTGTTATTGCCGTTTTCTCTCTATCAAGATCAAAACAAAACGATCTGCCAACAACTATTCCCCCGAGGGAAGGAGATAGCAATAGAAAAAGAGGAGGAAAAAAGAAAAATAGAATCGGAATCTAGTCTAAAAAACATCGGGGGGCGATAAGTCGTCGTTGTAGTCGCTGTAGTAGTCGGTCGAGTGGCAACAAAATAAACACGAAAGAGGAAAAACAAAATACAGCAATTAAAAGATTAACAAAATAGAAACGAAAAATCTAAAAAAGCGAAAACGTTTTTTATGCGTTTTAAATTTCCCAACAGAAACACAGAAACAACAATAAAAGTGCGTAAAAATAAAATTGACCTTCAAAAAGTTGTTGCGCAAAAAAAGAGGCTTCTATGGGTGGGAGAATCCCATCGGGATAATCTTGTAGATCTGATTGAGCTTTTGAATCGGAGTGCAGTGAAATTGGAACACGCTCAAGCAGCGTGTGTTCTTCGTTTACCGCCTGTTGCGCGCCTGTTTGTTAATGTTTGGCCTTTTTCTCCGTTTTAATTGAAAAAGTCACATTATTTATTTTAATTTTTTGCGCGCCATTTGCGGAGCTTGGCTTGCTCGGTGTTTTATTTTCTGATATTCGGTGCGGTTCGCTTTTTCTTTTATTTTCGTTGGTTAGGTTTAACGGCCCCGGTGATAAGCATAGCCTTGAACTTGGCCACACTGCTTGCAGCATGTGTGCACCAGCAACAGCAACCACACGAGCAGCACCGAAAGTAAACACACATAAATAAATAGCAAGCAGAGCAGAAACACCAAGTTGGGGGTCTCCAGCTGCAGATGGGAGCGAAAGAGTCGGCGACAGAGCAAGCAAAGCGCCGTCTAAGCATAAATATTTGTCCAAAGCTCCCTCTGCAAAAAGCTCCCTCTATCTACAGATCGGTTTTCGGGTCTACCCTTTGTTTTGCTTTCGTCTGGCGGCGCAGCAATGTAAGCGTTGAAAAATTTCCATTGAAAACACGGTGCAAGCAGTTCTCCAACAGACATTAGAAGTTCTGGTAAAACGCGCCAAAATGCGCACAGAATGCAGTCCATCCACACTGCAACTTGTTGCTGCAACACGCGCGCGGTTGCTGTCCCCAGGAATGCAGTTCAACGGGTTTTCAGAATGGCCAACAGAGTGGTGCGGGGAGAGGGGGATGCTGAGAGAGACTGACTGCAATGGTTTGTTGTGGCCATAAAAACATCCAACAAGTCGATAAAGCAGGGGTCTTTAGTTCTAAAAATAGAACCAAATAAAGAGACTGCTGCTTGTTTACTGGAGGACAATGACCAAAAATGAGGCAAATAGATAAACTGTACTCATTGCACGGAAAGAAGGAATAGAAAAAATGCAAGAAAAGCTAGAGCCAATCTGATAGAGGATTTCTGTAAACAGTGTCAGCGAGAGAGAGAGACAGTTTAGAAGTCTTAAGCTCAAGTCAAGCTCAATTAGGCGCAAGGCCGTTCTGCACTCTCAAGAAGAGAGAGGTGTTTAACCTGTACACTGCGCCAAAGAGAGTGTAGCGCAGATACCGAAGACAGAGAGAGAGAGAGAGAGAGAGAGATCATTAGGAGAGCAAGGAAATGGATCACTTGAGGGGAGACTATTATTAGGTTAGAATTAGCTGGAAGCTAAACGCGATTGTTCCCCTTGTGTGAAAGGGAAATACGACCGCCAGGTGAGAACGATCCCAAATGCACCCCACACACATTATCAGATGTGTCTGCGAAGGCGTTTGCCGGCATCTTTGTTGTCTCCATTTCTGTCTGTCTGGTGGTGTCATAAATCTGACAAAAATGTGTCACAAATGAATCTTCTGCTTCGTGTTCCTTTGCCAATTCCACATCCAATTTCAATTTCATTAATTGGCAAACGCGCAACCCGCTCTCAATGACGTAACGCTGGGCGCCTGGTTCGCTGGAACTTCATTTGAATATTTGCACAAAAAGCAGAAAAAGAAATACAGAATAGAGAGAGAGAGGGAGAATGAAGCAGAGAGGCCAAAATGCGACAAAGGGGACATCCAATAAATATATACACACACACACACACACAGGTAAAAACTGGAGTATCAGAGAGAGAGCAAAGAGTCTGTGAGTGATTTCCGCGTGTGCGACTGACTGTGGTGTGTGTGTGTCATAAGCATTTTGTTTTTGGGAGTTTCGTTTTTCCTTTTTTATTGCTGCTGCTCCTCTCCCCCTCTCTCATTTTTGACCAAGTTTATTGCCCTTTGGAGTCAGCGGGGGTGTACAGTGGGGCCACTGGCGACATATTGACTGCACGCAAAGGATTTTGAATATAACTGTTAACACCCACACAAACACAGAAAGAGAAGATAGAGAGCGACAGAGTGACAGAGCGAAAGAGAGAGAGAGCCAGCCCAAATGTGGGACAGCAGTTTCGCAGTGTGCGTGTGCAATAAAAGTAATACAGTGGCACCGAAAAAAACATTGTCAGGTCTGTGGGACACACATCTAATGCTGCTGCTCGCGACTTCCTGGCGCTATTTAATTTGCTCATAAAGCGTCGTCAGGCGGCACAGCCGCTCCGTGGAAATGTCCTTGGCACGTGCACTAGCAAGCCACCCACTTACCACCCATCTACATATGTACCTCACCACCCTCCTCTTCTACTACCTTTGCAGCTGCTGCAGCCATAAAAAAACAAGGGAGCACGGAACGCAAGGTGCAAATAATAAGGGAACAAAATTATGAATCAGCCAAAGATAAAAGCCAAAAGCTCAAAGGATTCGGGTTGAATGACCCAATTCCGGGGCCCATATCATGTTACTACAAGTACCGTACCCCCCCCTGAGAGGAGGGGAGGAGGAGGCAGACTATCAGTTGGAATACCCTGCTGGTGCTGCCCTCAGCCAGCTGCGACTGCGCAGCAGCAGCTGCTGTCCAAAAATAAATGTGTAATTAAAAATAAAACATACAGAAAAGAAACGAAACGAAACGAAACGAAAAGGAAAGGAGATAAGAGCAGGGGCCAAGAGGCGCTGTTATAAAGGTAAATGAAAAGAAAATACAACAAGAAACAGACAGGCTGACAGTCCAACCCCCTCCTGAAGGCAGACTCGAGACAAGAATCGACACGAGAAAAAGGCGAAACGAGTTCGAGAGAGTTCAGTGGCCCAACAGAGGAGGTGGAGGTGTGTGCCCCAAACCCAACCCCTAAGGGGTACTTGAAAAATATTTAAATTCACATTAAAACCATCATGAACAGCAACTGGTGCTAATTTTCTAGACACCACTGTAAAGAGCAACCAGTTCAAAGTGTAAACTCTGCGTGGGTGCACAGCAGTCTAACTGTATCGTACTCGCTCTCGCGCTGCTGCTAGAAATTCCAGGAACTCGCTGAAGCAGAGCAGCTGCTGCTGCTTGCTCTTCTCTATTTTGTATCAGTCTCTCTCTCTTTGTTAAGCCAGTGACGTCTGCGCCAAGGATTATCTGCGCTTTGAAAGCAGCATCAAACAGACAGAGGCAGAACCAGAGCACGTGTTACTGAGAAAAATCTTCCATTCCGCCATTCAGGTAAGTGAAAAATAAAGATACTTCTAGTAGTCGTAATTTTTGTGGTTGTGTGTTGTTACAAAAGATGATGAAATACCGAGGCAGGCAATGTGAAAAGCCAGCCCATGGGCATAGGAGAATTCCGTATGGCGTCAAATAGACGCCGCAGTTGTCGTCATTGAACGAAACATACACACGCATACTCGTACGCAATGCGTAGTCACACAACACAAAATGAAAACGAAAACTGCTTCGTTCATGGTGAGTGTGTGTGATGGATGGCAAAGCAGGCGGCTGCGACGGTGGGCAGCAAGTGGGAGGCAAAAAGAGCTTTGGCAACATTTGTTGCTAGACATTTTTGGCCTACAATAATGTTTCAATCGATGTGTAGTGGGAGGTGGGGTAAAATGGACACCCAACTGTTGACCTTCAAAACTGTCAATATTTGCCACATTTGTTGCACTATTTACTGCCCGTTCCGCTCAAAAACAACAACAACAAAAACAGCAACTGCAACACGATTTCAATGTCAAAAGTGCAAACTAATTTTGTTTATTCAAATTGTTTATCAATTTTTGTTGTTTTTGTTGTTGCTGCTGGGGATTTCATAACATTTCCCAAAGGCCAGACGCCGCAATAGAGAGGCACACGCGTTAGCTGGGGGAAAAGTTTTTACGACTCTCGTATGCGTGTGCGCTTCTCTATTTTTATACAACTTGACTTTGTTATTATTGCCTTTCGTTTTAAATGCAATTAAATGGGGCACAAAGCCAGCAAAGCGAGAGATATTTGTGTGTATATATTTAGAGAGCGATAGAGGGAGTGAAAGCAGTTAAAGCACTGTTGCATTCCTCTGGTCTATTTATAGTTCCCTACCATAGGGCATTCCCCGTCTATTCGTTGCATTCTTCTTATGTATTCTACGGTTCTTATGTTTGTTCAAACTTTACAGCTTTCTGCTCGAATGCTTCACCTTGCATTAATACATCTTGTGCACTACCATATCGACTGCTTCTTTTTACTGCACAGCTTGTTGCCGACTGCTTCTTCACTGCTTATCAAGTAAGCTTAGCTGCAATTGCATTTTCCCAGCCACGCGCCATTCTTTCGCTCCCTCTCTGTATCGTCCACACTCTTTCACACTTCCACTACTTTGTTTGCTTCGGTTTTTGCTGGCGTTTGCATTTATGCGACACGTGCCGCGGCTTCTGTTCCTCCTGTTTTTCTCTGCTGCTCCTCCGAAAGCCTCCTCCGGTGCATATTGATTTGCTGTTATGGCAAAATCATTGCCACCCCACACACTCATACACGTGCAGTGCAACACAAAGCGAAGCAACAACTGTGAAAAATCTTTAAACAAATTGGCTTAGCACAAATAAACAACAAGGTAGAACAAATAAGTGGGATATATGTAAATATGTGTGTATGCACAATCTATATGTATATAACCTCTAGAAATCTAGTGAACAACAACTAACAGCTGCTTTTACTTGTTTCCAGACAACTTTATTTGCTGTTAATTGAAATTGCAATAAAAGATGAAAGTGGAGAGTGACTGGGCGGGTCGCGGCGGAGGGGGACAAAGAGATTGGGGCTAGGAGAACCAGATTGGCGACACTTGTCAACGCTTGTTGACGCTTTCCGACCGACACCACTGCTGCTAGCTTATCACACAAAACAGCTGATCTTGCCTCTGTGTGCGCACCCGTACCCGTGCCCGCACTAACGTCAATCAACAACAGTTAGGCGGCTTTTGGTTTCCTCCAATCGATAAACAAAACGTAGCAAAAACAGAAAGAAAGAAAGAAAACGAGAATAAAGCTGGCGTCAATACCGTGCGGGCGTTATCAGAGCAGACGCCGCCGCCTACTGATGTACTCTGCTGATAGCAAGAGAGGAGCGGCAGACAAACGTCCAAAATTCAGGCGCGTTTTCGGTGTTTTGGGTATTTGTTTGCTCTCAGTTCGCTGATAAAATGAAATTACCAATAACAAAAGAGTCACGTGAGTGGACACTGATATGCTTGGATTTTTTTGTTGTGTGCCTGCGACAACTTTGTTGGCAGACGGACAGCTAAATATATTGTAAAGGTATATCTGGTTGCCCATCCCACAAGAATGCACATTGTATTGTGTCCACCATACATACAATTAACGCTTTTCATCAAATTTTAGTCAAATTTATTGAGTGATCTTGTGTTACTTTTGTCACCTCCCCCGTCCGATTGCTGTTCTCAGCTCCCTCTCCCCCTCTGTTATTTTTGAGCGAGGCTTCTACTGCTTGACCTCTCTCTTTCGATCACTCTCCCTCTTTATTGCACTGCACTCACATTTGCTAATCTAGAATCAGCTGAGAGTATTTTCTATACATATGCACTAATCGCAAGTGCTTGTGGGGTGTACATGTGTATATGTATGGCTGTGGCGATTGTTGGCAAGATATCTGCTAAGCAGGTGACAGGCATCGCTGACGACGACGGCGCCGTCTCCGCCGCTGTCTACATGGCGACCGCATTCTCGCGCTGGCGCCAAGCAGAGGCCATACAAATGCTGTGGGCGGGCAGCGGCAGAGCGAAAGTGAATGCCAAATGTAGCCACGCCTTGTAGCTCAAGAGGTGAGTGGGTGGGTGGTGTCTGTCCCCCAGTTGATTCTTTTACAGTTACTGCTTAAGGTTCTCCTTGTCTTTGGGTACTTACTTGCATACTCGCGTCGCGAGTGAATGTCCACCGCCAGGTAGACCATGCTGAAGCTTCCCTCTCCTATGTAGCGACCAAAGATGAAATCATTTGGGGATCTACGGGGCGGAGGATTCTGCTGCTGTTGCTGTTGTTGTTGCTGCTGCTGTTGTTGTTGCTGTTGCTGCTGCTGTTGCAACATGTCCAGTATGTCCTGCTGCCTCAATTCCGGGCAGATTCCATTCTGGTACTGATTCCGACAGCAAGCTTTGCTGCACTGCGGCGTTGAGGCAACAGACGAACTGTTGCTGGCCACCGCTGCCGCCAGTGGCGATGTGTGGCCTGCGAGAGCGAGAGAGAGAACATAGAATGAATTCATTACAACATGTTGATAAGGGAAGCTCCTGCTCTCTCGCACACTTACCGTTTGTCAGATACTTGTTGCTGGTGCCATAGCGGCTGTTGTTGTTGTTCTCTGTTTTTGTCGACATCGTTTTTGTGACACTGCCGCTGCCGATAGTGGTGGCAGAAGCTACCCCACAGCCGCACGTGTTCTGTTGCAATCGGGACGCCGCTGTGGTGGCGGCCATGGCGACGTGATACTCTTTTAGTTTCAATTCGAAATTCGATTCGCTTAAGGACACTGGCGTTGTGGCTTTCTCCTTGGCCATTGCCGCCGGCATGGTAGCCGCTGGTGTCGTTGCTGTTGTGGCAGCAATGTTGAACGGTTGCTGTTGCTGCGCCGACGTATGTGTCTGTTCAATGCTGCTGCAACCGCTGTTGCTGCTGCTGCTGCTTGAAGCTGCAGCCGAGACGATGGAGGCCGCTGCAATGCTGGCCCCGCTGCAGGGCTGAAGCTGCTGCTGCTGGTGTTGCGTACCGTTACTCTGCAAGAAGACAAGACATAGGCAGATTTGGATGAGAAAAGGTCAAATGTGTAAAGCAGTTCCTTCTGTCATTTACACTTCTGTTAACTTAACATGGACATGGCTACCGCCTCTGTTAATCAGCAGTGGGACCCCAACACGCAATAAATTAAGTTTCTGCTGCGCATACGTATAGACCGCCCTCCCCCCTCTTCCACACAAAGCCAAACAAAAACACAAGAAGAGGCAGCAGCGCTCCAAAGCGGAACTCAAGAACAGGTCCACAAAAGGCAACAGCAAAAACAGAGTCTGCCCAATGGTCCGCCATTGACGTCGTCCAAGTTCATTGCCGCAGAAGCTCAGAGCGCTGCTTCTTCTACGCTTTAGTTTTTGTGGGATTTTGGCGGGGTTCAAGGACTTGGAGCATGAAAATATAATAAAGTTCATTGCCACCTGTTTACATTTCTATTAGAAGTTTATGCTCGCGGACTTTGCTTTGCCTTTGTTATTGCTTCTCGTTTAGCGTGTTTTTTTTTCCTTCGGTATCATTATGCGAGACACAGATCTTTGTGGCGTGATTTTATGGGAGGGAATCAAAGTCAGAGCTAAGCCTATGGCAGGGTGTAGTGTTGAGAGCATAGCAAAAAATTATGAAACGTAACGTAAAACCAAGAAAATAAAAACATATTGAGAGGGATCAGTTCTAGTAGATGTAATGGCAAACTGTTTGCGAAACATTTGTCGCCTGTCGTATGATTTGCCTACAAACTGCTTGGCCGGCAAGCAGTGTCTGACACTGCCTTGTACACCCCACACAGTTTAACAAAACGAACCCAAGTCACACATTAAGCAAATTGTGCAAATTCTGCAAAATGGAAACAGATTAAAAAATAGCAAACCATAAACTAGCCAAACAAACGAAATTTAAATAACAAATTCAATGAGACATTAAAAAACAAGGTGAGCAAATGCGTCAATGAAAGTCGAAGCTTGAAGCTAATTTTAAAGCAACAAAGAGATGGAGATAAAAATGGAACCAGACAGATCCATAGATGCAAATACCAGCCAGGCTTCGGAAAGCAAACAACGAGAAGAGTCGAACGATCTATTTTGGTGATTGAGTGAGGGGAAGGCCCCAACCAAAGCCAAAAGGGCCACAGGGCCCTACAACAGGTGTATTATCAATTAAATGGATCGAGGGAGATAGCATAAGCATTCTTTGCATTCGTCAATGAAAACAGTTTTGTTGTTGCTTCTTGCTGCCTCTCCTCTCTCTCTATCTTTATGTGCGTCACATACATTGGAATGCCGTTGGTTTACTTTTCAGACACGCACACAAATGGAAATCAGAGATATTGGGCAAACGAACAGACAGAGATCAGAGGAAAAGAGAGCCAATTGTATTTTGTTATGCTTCTCTCTCTGTCCCTATGTTAAGACATGACCTCAACGGCATGCCACACATCCCCCCTATCGGGTGGGCTCTGGCTCTACACACCCACGAGTCAATCTAAACAAAATAAACATAAAATTCTTCGATATTTGAACTCAGCCGCCGTTTCAACGCAGCGAAAACCTAAAACAAAAAGTTGCCAACCTACTTTGTATAACAAATACCCTTTAAAGAGGAGTATCACAGAATTGGATAAGAGTTGGCTACTCCATTAAGTTTCAACATTGTTAAAAAAAACCCCAACCACTAAATCTCAAACTTAAGCATTCTTGAAGGGCATTTAAGCCGTCGTGGAACCAACAATCGTTCCTTTCTTTCTCGTTGTTTCATTTTCTCTTTTTTTGGCGACTACTCGGCTAATTTAGCAGCCGACGACGACGACGATGATCTGCGTCAGCGGCTCAAAAACTGGTCAACAGCCAATTGGTGAATGGCAGAAATCCACCAACAAAAAGCGACTACACAAACCAACAAAAAAAAACAGGAAATACCCAAAATTCCAAATCGTATTGTTGTCCATTACATGGAGGTTTTTAAACCAGATTTTGTTCTTTTACGTCAGACAGAGAGCGACACAGGCATGCCGCCACTCATTTGCATGGAGGGGAGCACGGAGACAAGCAATATTATTATAATAACAATAAGAAAGAAGATCCATAAAAATGCTGTGGAAAAGTTTGAAAGAATCGAAAGTTTCCCTCTTCAATCCCCTCCGCCTATTTCAAGAGGTGGGCGTGCATCACGAGAAGATCCACCATATGACAAGAGTCCAAAGAGGTGCCACCACACAGCAAGATATCTGGGTGTAGCTATACATATAGATATGTATGTTTGCATGTATTTGTGTAACCGATCTATAAACATAGAAGAATACGCTCTGCTCTGCTCTGCTGTTCGCTCGGACGTTGTTTTTGTCGCGTTGTCTGCGGCGTCTAGACAAAAATGACATTTAAATTAATCTATTTTATTGCCAGGCCAACGCCATTGAATGGGGTACGACGATGTTCCTCCACACCACACAGATCTAGGATCCCTCCCCGTCTTTCCGTAGCCCCCCACCAACACCTCGTCTTGTGTTCAATTTATATTTATAAATAAGATTTTCGTCTAGAGAATGCAGCCAATTGAAAGCAAAAAATGCAACCGCCACCAAACGACACCGAGCAGAGAATATCTCTGATTAAAACACGTAAAGATATACCGAAATGGGGAGGTAGGTGGTGTGGGGTGGAGCGTTTGGTTTGGTGGTCTCTCAGGGTATTGCAAAAAGAAGCCAAAACTTGCTAAATATACAGAAAATGTTTTTAATTTTGGCACCACATAAAAATTGAAAAGCGCTAAGCGAGGCCACACACAGGCACACAAAATACAACAAAAACTATTATTAACATTTCAATGTGGGTTTTTGGTTTATTTGTTGAATTAACAACGAGCCCCCTTCCTCTTGCTCTTCAGAGACGGTTGCTGGAGCAGCAGACGGATCCAATCGATCGTGGCTAAAATCACGTAGGGCCTGCCTGGACGATAGAGGTGCGTAAGTGGGAGTGCAGTTAAAGCATTCCATAATAGACAGATACTCCAAACATATTCACGCATTACCTATTCCGAAAATGTACTGAGGGTACTACGCTTTGGGGTTCTACGGAACAGCCCCCTCCAAAATTACCCATCATAAAATGAGCCTCTGCCCAGATAGTGGTGGAGGAGGCGAAAATCCCACAACCATACCTATATGTGGGCGTGGTATTTACGCCTCGCCTGGCATCAGCAAACACACACCACGGCACACATTTTTTTTATACACAAAACGGTAATAAAAAATTCGCGGAAATTTTGTGCGCCTTTTGTTAGACTCTTTTTTGCCCTCACTGTCTCTCTGCCCCTTCCGCCCCCTCTCCTGCAACAATCTCTTTTGTATTTTTAGCCAACGCCTTTTGATTTCTATTGGATGGAACAGATCAGACGATGATCTGCAGTCCCTGTCTGTCTCTCCCTCTCAGACGACATGTTTTGCATAATTTAATCGACGAATTGTTGTGTAAACGTATGGCTTGGGGTAGGTTTGGGCTAAACCCAATATACATAAAAATATATATAGCACCATACCTGCTTTAGGATCGGTAAAGCTTCCATGCTTCAAGAAACAGTGGGGAAAAAATACACTTGAAAACAGAAATTTTGAACATTTAATTTTTTTCGACTGTCACTAAATAAAAGGCTTGCCTGGTGCTGCTTCTCTCTCTCTAAACAAAATAGTAAAAATGCGCTTATGAATGAAAATGCAAAGAGAGCGGCTGGGGGACAGAGAGACGAATGCAAGCAAAACAAGAATGCAAATGCAAGTCTTCCTTTCCTGCTCTGCTCCCACTCTCACGCACAAACACACTGCTTGTGGCGCCCTGTATTACAATACTCTGCTCTCTTTTTATGTGCTCGCTCTCTCTACTTTAACTGCTTAGAATAGGAAGAGCAAGCAGTAAGACCAAGCAGTAGGCCAGAGCGAGTCAGAGGTATGAAGGAAGGCGAGAGCGAGGCGTAGAATACTAAAGTGAGAGAGAGGCTGCTGCTTCTTTTGGTCGGCTCTCTCTCTGTTTGTGTATGTTGTAATTGCGATTCACGGGTACAAATTCCAATGGGCACACGCACTAAGAGAGGGGGCTGTAGAGGGGGCTGTATTCGAAGGTAAAGAGGCAGTTTTTTTGTCGCATACACACAAACACACACTGAGCCATAAAGCGCGCGTATTTTTCGGCTATGCGCGAGTCTCGTCTCTATATGTATATGTCTGTGTCTATGAATTTTTTTTGCTTTGATTTTTCACATATAAATTTTCATCAAATGTGTTCTTATTAATTTATGTTTGGCTCATCTTTAACGCTTACGTTGAGAGTAAAAACAGCAAACGTTTCGTAGCGGCAACGTAATAATAATTCCAATTCGTTTGATGGGCAGCAAGACGCAGTAAGAAAATTTGTATAACGGCGACAGTAAGACGGTTTCAAAACGGAGCAGGAACGTTTACTGTGTATACATATACATACATATGCTTTTATATGTGTTTTTTAGGAACGGTACTTTTTTCGGCTATACGTAATTTGACTAATGAAAACAATTTGTTTTTTTTTCGTTTAAAACATTTGAACACAACGCGGAGACGAACACGTTTTCCAAAGAGATATTTTGAGAGGAGAGAACGAACACTCTCTTTGGCTCTGTTATATTTCTATTTTATGTAATTTTTTGTTTTATTTGGCCTTTGTGGAGTATTATTTAATCACACTACGGGGGCCCAACACCACTACACTTTTGTGTATGCGCGTGAGTGTGTGCCTATCAGCGGCCGTTTGTATGTATGGATGTGCTTCCGACGATCCGCGGAACGAAACGTTCGTTCGGATGAAAGGCGCCACAAAACTAAGCAGTGGAGAAAAAAGAGCATGTGGATACCCCCAAACGAAGCAGTTTGAAAACCCGAAGACAAAACCCGAGAGCGAGAGCATAAGAGAGCGGCGCTCGTAATGTTAAATGGGGCCAAAGCAGCGCAGTCGCCGCCAGCGCCAAGGCGAACAAGTTGCGCGCCAGTTTTTTTTCTGCTGCGGCTTGTTCCTTCTCTCTCTCGCTCACTCTCTGTCGCTCAGTGCTGCTGTAATTGTTGCATTGTAATTGTTATAAATAAATAAAGTCCAAAGCCAAAACAAGTTGCCTCTCGCTCTCGCACGCAGGCCAGAAAAATGAACAACATCCCAAAAGAAGAGAAGCGAAGCGCTCTCTTTTCCCAGAGTTGTAAAAGAGCGACCGCATTCCTAACTGTAAACAAGCAAGAAGAAGCAGGGCGGGAGAAAGAGAGAGACAGACCGAAAAGAATGCGGCGCTGCTGGAAAAACTAGTTTTCCCGCTGGAAAATGTGACAAAAACAAAAGAGGCAAGAAAACAAAAAAAAGAATTTTAGGAATTTTCTGGCACCCAAAAGAGAGAACAGAGAGAGGAGAGAGAGAGCGAGTGCGAAAGTCATGTAAAAATAAACAACAAACGGAACAACAGAGAGTGCGGGACAGAGACAACAAGGAAGTGCGGTCAAAACAAAATGCGTGAGAAACACGATGGCTGAAGAAGTGGGAAAGGGAGGCGCAAGGAAAACTGAAATGGAACAGGCAGAGGAAGAGGGCAAGAAGAAGAGACAGACAACAGAAAGCTAGACAGAGAGAGGGAGAGAAATGTAGTAAACAAAACAAGAGCGGCGCGGCTGCGACGCTGACGTTTTACGTTTACGGTTCGACTTTGCAGCAGCTGCGGCGGCGGCAGACATCAAAATGTAAATAAATATTATCAAATATGCGAGTGTGTACGTTTGTGAGAGGGAGTGCATCTCTGTATGTGTGTAATAATAACAACAAATAATAACTATAAACGAAACAAAAACAACAAAAAATGTGAGCAACAGAAATGCAAGTGAAAGGCGTCTGTCTGCGTTGTCTGCTTCCTCCTTCTCCACCTCTTCCACTGCTTCTTCAGCTTCTTTTGGTTTTTGCAAAAAGGAAACGGTACAAAAAAATGTTGTCGACTTCGAAGATGGTAAAGGAGATGAGGAGTCGAGAAAAAGAGACAGAGGAAGATGGGTGATGGGAGATGGGTGATATGTGATGCAGGGGAGTGAGGGAGAGAGGTAAACAACTTCACATTTGGCTGATTGCAGACAGACAGACAAAGATGGAGGTGGAGATGGAACGCAGAGGCAGAGTAAGGAGACAAGAGAAAGAAAATTAAATAAATATATGATTTATTATCTTGTGGTTTGCCATTAAACCGTTAGTTAAAGTGAGCACAAAAAAAAAACTTGTATTATTCAGAATTTATTATTTTTTTTTTAAACACATTCCCATAAATTTTTTGTTTGATTTGAAATACCAGCGATAATTATACATTTATTTTCTAATACATTTTAGTATTTCTTTATTGTATTTTCTGGGTCTTTTTAAATGTCAAAAGGGAGCTGTATCCGCAGCCTCAAAGGCAAATGAACTGCACTTCTGTCTCCGTTTTTTTTGTTAAATTTAGTTACCGTTTTTCGACACTGTCTGGTTTTTGTTTTATTTTTACAGGCAGCGACAGGGAGACTTTTTATTTTTATGGGCACCCCATTCCCAGATGTCAAGAAACTTAATTATCCATTAATGTCTATTTTAGGAAAAATATAGACACTGATGCATGTTTCTTTTTTTTGTACTTTCTGAATTAATTAAACTTTATTTTGATGTCTTTTAAAGTGGTTCTTTGCAATTTATTATGTTCTTAATGGAGATTTTATGGTTTTTGAACTTTTGTGCAAACAATTATTGTGTACAACTTTTTAACTTTAGGATTAATGAATTTTGAGAAAATATTCAAATATCCAAAATAATTAGGAATTGTGTGCCAAAACACATCATTATTTAATTTATTTATTTCGGAAGAACTTAAGTCTTGAAGAAATTTTGTATGTTAAATCCGTCTAAAAATAATTTTTTCCCATTTTTGTAAGCAACTTATAAAAATTAAGTCGACTCAAAAGGAATAGTTAAGATTTTTTAGTTCGACCCCCAAATTTATTCAACAGTTATGTTATTATTTTATTACCTTTATTGACGCCTTGAATCGACGTACGACGAAATTGTTGAATTTATTGGACCAACTTTTGCATTTCATGAGGAGGCCGGAGGGGACCACCGCACACGAATGCGGGTCGGAGATGTGGATGGTAAAAGACAACGGTAAACACTGAATGTCTCTCCTTCCGTTGCTCCACTGCTTGCTGCTACTCCTTTCTGAGTTTTTGTGTATTTCACTCTTTTTTTGTGTAGTTTTTGTCAGATTGAAACAGTTATTATTTTATTAATCCTTTGCTGATGCATTATTTTTTCAACACTTTAATTTTTACAGTTATTACAAACACTTGGACACAGGCACGACGGGGTATAAACGTTAATATACACGGAACAAATAATAGGTAAGGACGAAATTTATTTTTATTTATTTCTTTTTTGTTGTGGGATTTTCCTTTTTGGCGCGCGCAGAGAACGAACTTCTCTGCTTAGAGCTGTGTTTTGGTTTATACTGCTTCGCGTTGCAACGACTTTACTTGTCTTGTGTTTGGTGTTTTGAACGAGCGCGCGCCTCCAACCGAACCGAAGTCAAAAAAATTTGTGACAGCGAGAAGAGCCGAGAGCCGAAAGCCTGCCTGCCAGCATGGTGCGATTGTATAGGGTGGCCCGTCCGCTGCCAAATCGTTTCGTTTTCGTTCCCTTAGCGTTCAGAGTGTTTGCTTGTAACAGCATTCTTAGGGGCGCCGTTTTGCCGACGGACCACCTTATATGCCTGCCAGAATTTCAATGTGCAAGGCCGAAAAGAGCGCGAGTGCTCATTTCCGCGCCCCGTTTTCGAGCCATGAACAGCGAAGCGAAAAGCAGAAACAGAAAACTAAATAAACGCTCTCTTATTCTCTCTTATTCTGGGTATGAAAGAGGAACGCTGGAATTACGGCCATACAAAACGGAACATTTTAAAAAAGGCGCGCAGCGAACACTTCGCCTGTCCGTTAAAGGGAACTTTTTGCATTGTATAGGGCAAGAAATCGTTGAAGGAAGCGGGAAAACAACAAGGGGAGTGGAAAACAGTTTTTTACATATTCTTTCATTAGATAACGGAGGGGAAATGATTGGAGTAGATATGGAATGCAGTTATTCCACAGGAAGAGCAGAGAGATCAAGTGGATCCCATAGAAAGTGCACCCGAAATAGTATCACTTTATATGGCATTAATTTCACAAGCGATTTGCAAGTCGTGTTATTGGTTCCGTTATTGGCGATTTGCGTTTTTTTCCCTTGCATCGAAATTTGCATGCAGCAGTGGCGGTCCCCCATAAATTATTTATGGGGCAAGTGACGCACTTGTTTTCCTCTTGAAAAGCGACCTGCTTTTTTGGGTACTTTTTCTGTTCGAGAAAGATATTTTTTGCGAAATAATACAAAAACAACTATGAGTCAGCCTTGACAGTTTTTCCCGAAATTTCTGATGGCAGTTTTAACGGGTTGTGGCGCTCACTCTGAGTGGCATGCACCTCCACCTACTGTCTTTCTGTCTCTTTTTCTATCTGTGTCTCTTTTCATCGACGAGAGACCCCAATTATGTATGTGCATTGCTGGAATTTGAACTATTTGGACCTCACTCCATTCAACCTCTCCACTGAAATCTGCTTGGCGTTGGATCGTTTCATTGATCGGCGCTCTTAAGTTCCTCACATGCAGCCCACAGTCCACAATTCATTGTGATCGTTCGCATGCGTCCCACACACAGTCCAATGCTCTGCTCTCTTCGCGCAGTGTTTCGTTGTGTCCCAGACGTTCCCTGTTTTGGTTTCAGTCAAGCGCGCCTTTTTTCGTATGTATGCGTGAGTTCTTTGCCTGTGTGTGAGTGGAAATTCACTTGCTGTCTTTTCGTCTTTACGTTTTTACTACGAAACTCAAGCAGAGCCATGCCACTGGCGAGTGCGAGTGCGAGCGAGATGCGGCGAAAACAAAACATTAAAATTGAGTTTTGTTGAGGGGAAGATGGCAGCGCGGTCGCTGCTCTCTCTCACACTCTCTTTACCGTAAACTGTCTTTGCTGTTGCTGCTGCTGCGGCTGCTCTTTCGTCATTGAATTTTCGTTTTTATTTATTGCTTTGTGATTTGTTTTATATTATTTATCTTATTTCGATTTGGTATTCTTTTTCTAAGTTTAAAAGAAACATTTATTTTCATCAAAAAATGTGTGCTTAGTGTCAAAAATCGATCTACTGATAAGATTAGGTAAACTTTGCACGCTCCAAAAATAACAAAAATATCGATTAGGCCACAAATTGGTGGAAACAAAAAATATTTGTAGTAGTATCATATCTTGCACAGAATTCGAAGACGAATCATTAAAAGAACAGATTTCTTGAGTTTAATTTGATTTATGAACAATTACTAACCAAGGGACAACATTTGGCTGATAAATCCAACCAGAAACACGAGTTATGGATGGTCTTTAGAGAGACTTCAGTGTTATTTATAAAATCTACATATAACATTTAATCTATACAAAATATTACTTATAGATTGCAAGCTAGTCCTTAAACCCTTCATGTTTGCATTTAGTTTTTAATGTTTTTCGATTTCGACTCAACTTTTGTTGACTTTTTTCATCATTTTGTTTTTGGGGCTACAGCATTTTAGCATTTTCTGGCTAATTCATTTGTTAATGCGCATACGAGAGAGAACAAACACAAAAGCCAGCCGATGTGCTTCTGCTGTGTTTTTTGCATTCAGCTTCTTGTGAGCAAAACAAAAAATATTTGAGGAAATTAGCATTTTTAATGGGCGACAAGTCCGGAGTTCGACGAGACACAATGTCGCCTCCAAAAATATAGATATGCTCCACAGAGAGAGAGAGAGAGAGAGAGGAGAGATATACCACCTGTATATGTTTTTATAATTCGAAAATTTGCATAAAACAAATCTACGCTTAGCATAAAAAATTAATTTCTCAACCAACAAAAATTCAACTGAAATCGAAGATTGCTTTTGGATTAGTGGGGATTTCGCCTGTGTTGGTTTTTTGGTTGATTCGGAGGCATTCCAGAGACTAGAAAAGCGAATCATTAGGCGAAGATATGGTATGCCCCCTGCCCCCTGCCCCCTACGATCCCATAGTTTGATCTTTGGGTTCGTTCGGTTTCGTCTTCGATTGCTTTGCTTCCACCTGTTTCGTCGGGGGGTCTGGGTCTGGGTCTGGGTCTACGGCTCAGGTGAGGCTCTGGGGCTGGTCTCGTTTAATTACTGGCTTTCCCCCCGCAGAGCCTCTCCGCTAACCGGTTCGGTTTTCCCCCCTCCCTCCCGGTGCCCTGCAGCTCTCCATTTAGTTGTCACTAAGTTTACCCATTAATAAAACCCGCTGACTGGCGTTCGATGGGTCCGCAGCGGTGGTGCTGGTGGTATCCCAGAGTTACACATCAATGGACCCGACAATCCGTCCTCAATTTGTTTAATTTATTAGCAAACAGTGAAAGGCCACTAAGGGGGGTGGGGCAGTGGCGGGGCATCACATTGAGGAAAGAAATATTTCATTTAATTGTTGAGCGGAAATATTTCGTTGGTCAATTATGAGACGACAAACCAGCAATTTAAAGGTGGAAATTATTTTAAATATTAATTTCAGTGCTTGCCTTTGGGGCATTATCGATTGACCTCTGCATATTTATAGTTCCTTTGGGGCATGTTGCATGGAATGCGCTAAAGGGCAGTCCGCTAAAGGAATCCGAAGGTCATGGGAGTGGACAATGAATTATGCTTGGGTAGGTTCAACGCTGAAAGGGCTATCGCTGGAATTGATTTGGAGGGAATGAGAGTAAGAGAATACATGGGAGAGTAGATGATAAAGAATGGGTTAGAATTGTGTTTGATGTTAGACCTTTAAGCTGCAAATATATGTATCCCTGATTGACAATCCAATTACAGTGGCAAAGGTCAAATGAAACGCTGATGAAATGTCAGAGGACTGCAAGGATGGGCTTGTTGAAATGCCACTGAAAAACACTCATTGTTTTTTCCTATTCAATTAGTTTCCATTTTCGTCCAGTATCGATGCGATGCAATGATAAATGGAACTAAGGCTGCACACTGAATGTTGGTTTTATGTTTTTGTGAGTTTTGATCGAAATTCGATTATAAATTAATGGACATGTCGTTGCAGCGGCAAAAACAATTGAATTAAAAGCCATAATTTAATTAACACAGCGCGTGGGAGCAACTACTATTTCCCCTTTGCCCTCTCCCCTTTAGCCCCCCTTCGTTTCTCTTTTCAAACGCCAAACAAATAAAACGCGGAAAAGCCAGAGTGAACAAATCAACAAAATTCACACGTGTGTCTGCTGGCTCCTACTCCATATACTACTCTCCCTCCCGAACACTCGCCTACTGGAACCCCATGCCAGACCGATATATATTGCGCATACGCCGCGTGCGACGGCGCCAGGCGGTGTGAAAATGAATTTGGCGCCAAACGAATTTGCAACGGTCAATTAAAACAAAAAAGGCGGCAGGCGAAAAAGAAAATGGAACAACTCCATGTGTTAATAAATTCTAAACGCTCTCTTTTTTATGTGTGTGTGTGTCACCAGGGGGCGGACGCGGGGGGCAGGGACTGCAGTTTAAACAATAAATAATTTCTAGGTGGCGCCTCAATGGCGATTGTCGTACAGTTCTTGCCCTACACCCCCTCTCTCTTCTTCAGTGTGCTTGTGTGCTTAGTGCACAATCCATTCCCACGTTCCCATTTCACGTGCAACACGACAAGTGCGCCATACAGCTTTGTGGCGGGTTACCCTTTGTTTCGGCTTCAGGGCATAGGGGACTGTGATAAGGGTTTTGTTTTTAAGCTTTTGATTCGGGGTGGAGTTTCCATGATTGATAAAGGTTGAGGGTATGGTTACTCAGTGCCAGTTAGCGCTGATTCGATTCTGTTTGATAGCATTATAGCGATTGAAAGCTCTAAAGAGCATCCCTTAGTCGCTGTGTCCCACCTTTTCGTCATCTCTACGTAATTCTTCTTCCTCTTCTGCTCACCTAAATTCGTGTGTTTTTTTTGTTGCTTCTGGCGCAAAGCGCAATTGATGATTGCATGAATATGTTTTCCAATTGCGTCGTAGCGAAAATGTATGCCCTGCCCCCAGTGCGACGTTTCTTCTCTTTCTGTGGCACAAAGCGGAAGAAGAGCGGAACCCGACTGGGGGCAAGGGGTCGACACTTTTTGTTGGGCTTTTGTATGCGCTCAGCTCTGCTTCTAGTTCTTTCTTTCGCTGCTGCACGGCCTCTGCCTCGTGCTTGGCGTTCAAGTTCAGCGTTAGCAGCAGCAGTGCAGCAGAGCGAATGCAGGGTACATTCGGGAGTTGGTAAGGCAGTGTACGAGAGAGAATCTGCAGTTAGAAACTGCTTGCTAGCAGTCACTAATGAATGCACAAGCAAAAGGGAGTGGGAGTAAGAGAGGGAGGCAGACTGCCCCGTGGCAGTGGCCGCACCTTACCCTTCGTTCTTGTTTACCCTTCAAGCGGCAGGAACATCGTACCAGACAACGTTCTACGGCCATGTGACCTTTTGTGTGTTTAAAAAC